TTTAATTAGATCATAAATTTGCTCATCATTTTATTCTTCGCATTGTGTCCTCATACTATTCAAAAGTAATTATTAAGATGAAATGTCAAAAGCAACTAAATATTATTGAACCGAATAAAATTAAATGAATTTAAATTTTCATACCAAAAAAGGGACAAAAATTTGATTATAAGTGATCATGTCTTTCATAAATTTTATTATGTAATACCCACAAATATTGCTATTAGGTTAGAAAGGGCACTAAAAATTATCAAAAGGTCATGTAAATTTATCAATCCAGTAAATTTATTTTCAATGATTCAATAAATTCTTATAAATATAAACATACCATAATCTTAATATACTCATAACTCTCAATACATTCTATCTATCTCATAGTTAATGAGTTTAAGTATGAGTAATATTATATTCTATCAAATATCTGATATTAAAAATTAAAATTTTTTTCTAGGATTGGCCCTCTAATAAGGATAAGAGGAAATAATTTTTTTGGTAATAATAATATTGTAAGTTAGCTTGTATACGTACAAATGTACGATCAAATCATATAGAGAGCATGGTAAAGTCTTAGACAATCACATATATGTAGGCAAATGAAAAATAAGTTAATTTAGTAATAAATAAATATTATGATTTTTTTTACAAAATTAGATATAATCTATAAGAATGACCCTAATTAGGGAATTGTCTGCATATACTCATTCCTTAAAAAATATAAGACATTTTTTATGTAAGATATTATAAAATATGAGGAATCTTGGGATCTTTTATGGTGCAATTAATGAGATTTTTTCAAAGATATCATTAATTAGAAGTGTAATTAATAGTTTTTTTTAATTGAGACACCTTATTAAATAGAAATAAATATGAAAATGTTTATAATTTTAAAGATAATTAACAAAATCTTTAGATGTGTAATTTAGTTAGAAATACCTAAAGGAAGGAGAATGCCTTTAATATTAAGGTGGACATATTTGGACTTATATAGAAGGCTAGAAGCACAGGGAAGGAACTAATTGGTTTAATTAGAGATGAAGCGTATCATTTTGCTGGGTCTAGGGCTGTGCATGGGCAGGGTCGGGTAGGGCAGCCCATTAACCCGATGCCCTGCCCTAAATGTCTTCGGGCAAAAAAACTATGCCCAAAGCCCGACCCTACCCGAAAGACGCCCGACTTTGGATGGGCCGGGTGGGCAGGTTCGGGCAGGGATCGGGCACCTCGGGCAGGGTCTTCAACCTTGTCCTACCGAAATAAAAAATCAGAACCATCCACACAAATCTGAAATACACCGTAGCAAATTATTTATTTTCATCAATAAATCACTTCAAGCTCTTATTTTAAAAGTAATAGATTGTTAAATATCACTAGCAAAAATATTATGGTGTCATCAAAAAACTTAATGGCAAAGCAAATATGGAAGGAATTTTTCATGCAAGTCACAGTCCAATTCCAAATTCTAAGGAATATAAAAATATTTAACCTAAGGTTTATAAACTTGATCATCAAGGCATCTAAAAAAAAAACTACCATTTATGTCCCCATCAAGTTAACAAATTACATCCTATATTATTATTTTTATAAAAAATATATTATATCTCGGGCCGGGTAGGGTCAATTGGTTGGATACCCCAGCCCTAAACCCTGCCCAACCCGAAGATCTGGCTCAGCCCGACCATGCCCAAACAGTATTAGGCAATTTTTTTAGAGCTTGGGTTGGGCATATTTTGCTCGGGTCGGGCCGGGCATCTCGAGCTTATGGGCATCCTGCACAGGCCTAACTGGGTCCCTATCTGATGATCATAAAATTATAAATATAACGATCCAGGTGGCGGGGGACGGTTCCATTACTCTATGACCACTAATAAAGGTGGGCCCATTCATCTCCTAAATTAAAACAGCTTCCTCCAACGGTCCAACCACAAACTCATTCTTACATTTATTCAATGTTCCTCTGCTTCACTAGCTAGTCAAAACATCTCTCTTAAATTTAACATTATTCATGTGTTCTTTAAATTCTATTTATAAAGTTAAAAAAAAGTATTTATTTTGGTTCTGCAGTTCCTCAGCAATTATTATATTTATTTTTATCCTTTTATTTCTATTAAATATTAAGAGGGTTATTAAATAATAGAGTATTTTATTTTAAGTTATGTATTTCCCCTGGTCTTCTTTATAAATTATTTTTAACATATTTTATTATAATAAAAAATCTTAAATTTTATTAACTTTGTCTTAAAAGTTATTAAGTTTTTACATCTACCTCTTAATAAAAAGAGAGAGAGAGAGAGAGAATTATTTTCAATAATTTTTCATAACATTTACTCCTTTTCATTCTATTTATAAGATAGAGAGAAGATTTTTTTATCCTATTTATGAGTCATATTTGCTCTCCATTGAATATTGAAAAAAAAAATATGTTATTAAAATATATTTATTTAATAGGGGACAATGTTGAAAAATTATTAAATCTCTAGATAGAGTTAATAAGTTTTAAAATTTTATTTAATTCTAATAAAATATGCTATAAGTAACTTATAAATAAAACAAGAGGAGTAATATTCAATCTTGCATCTTAGTCTTGTATCTCTTAACTCCTCCTTTTCTCTCCCACTCAATCTTGCAAACCACAACTTCATTCAATGTAATCTCAAGTATTGCACTACTGATGCCCAAAGAATTTATGATTTCAATTGCCAGCAAAAAATTAAATTTATAATTGGTTATATTATTTTTCTATTGTCTATTAATATCAAAATATGTAGTTTATTTTGTATATTTACTTGAAAGAAAGAACATTAAAAAAAGAACTATAAAATGATGTTAAACTTGCAAGGCCATCCATAAGTCGGCGAGTTCAAGGGCCACGCTTTGATGATAATGATAAGGTACTCTTTAGGTAAATGAGCTTCTCATCTGAGTTCAAGGGCCAGGTTATCCCTAAACTTCTTGGATTAAACCTTCTCATATACCTTTGGTACACAAGCATTTTTACGTAGAGTATTTTCATCTGTCAATAATAACACTAGTGAATTTTTGCCAAAAATAAATAAATCTTTGACGTCCATTTTATTTGTGGTTTCCTAGTCCCTCCCTAATCAGATGTAAAAAGGAATAACTAACCTAAAGAAGCATTTTGTACGAAAGATAGTGTCGTAACTCGTGTTGTCGGCTTTAATCTGTTTGCGATGGTTTTTTTTTTTTTTTTCAAAAATAGAAGGTCACGGGATTAACTCGCGCAGACAGACAAACTAAGTTTTATCAGCATGCAAAATATTCATATAGCCAAAAAGTGAATTATTAAAAATTTGAACATTTAAAATATCATTAGATGTTAAATGAGCCATCCAATCGACGCATTTATTAACCTCTTTAAAAATATAGTTAAAGTTGATTGTCTAATAGATCTCTGATATTATTAATAGTTGCAGCAAGAGGATGATTAGTGGAGAATTCTTTACGTATTAGTGTGAGCACCTTTATAAAGTTTGAGTAGACATTGACTTTAATAAATTTCATTGCCCAACAAATGTTGAAACCTTTTAAGATGCCCAAAAGTTTAGCTGTCGTATTTGGTTGATAACTAATGTATTTAGTAAAGCTTTTGATCCAATTGCCTTGATCATTGTGAATGAAACCTCCACAAGAAGCCGCACCTTGATTGTTAACAGAGCCATCCGTATCAAGTCTGACCCAACCTTTATTTGGAGAACATCATTTTACTTTAGTTCTATCACTTTGCTAATCCAAAAAGTTGATTTTAGATAGAAGGTAACGATCACTATGAATGTCATGCTAGTAAATGCAATGTCTTTATTAAGCATGTTTTTTTCAAAATAAATGTATTTGCATCTTTCTTTTTAGATGATCCAACACACCTGCGCGAAAAATTTCTGTCAGGAAACATTTCTTGCTTTAGCGTTACAAAAAGTTTCTTCCAACACCGTATGCGATGGTTCATTTTGTTTTATATATTGCGACGCGTCTAAAAATCAAGTGCGTTATATAAACTGCCCGTTCGGTTAATGCAAGAGAACATCAAACCACAAAGAGTGACTACACGTTCTCGGTGCATTTTTTGTGTTTTGTTTTTTGTTTTTTTTTTTCGAAGGACCACCGGCGCAGAAAAATCCTACTCACTCCTTGCACTGCGAAATTTAGACATTCTTGTCAAACATTAATATTGCTTCCCGCCAACTCAAATAAAGATGTTGCAGTAATGCCCATCGTCGTTTTCACACACTCACTTGTTACATAAATAACCTGCGTTTATATACCACACACGTCTGTGGCAGCGGTAGCCCACTTATTTAAGGTTTCTAACAAAAAATTCAATATCATTGCAAACCAATAAATCAATATATGTAACTAACGCACATGAAAAACAGAGAACTTAAGGATGTACAGTTTACATTCTTCAATGTTCAACAAGACTGTAATATTATATTCACTATGAATAATTACAATTCCAAATAAAATGACCATTGATATGAGATATAAAAATTAGCTTTTGCTTTTGCTAAAAGTTGCTTGGGCTTTTATCAAATATACTATCCTCACTCATGTGTCTTTTTTCTCCTCCCTTCATCAATAAAAAGGAGCTTAACGTATAAGTGAGGACAATAAGTTTAACAAAAGTTAAAACAACTTTTGATAAAACTAAAAGCAACTTAACCAATAGTTTATGTGATTGAACTCAAAACTTCATCAACAAATTTAATCTTCATACTAAATTCTTGAGGATTTAATTTAAAAGTCCCGAGCTTGACACTAAAAACTCATGACTTTGGATGACAATTTTGAGTTTCTATTCATTCACATCTTGGTTTAAAAGAAAGTATAGCTAGTAGGATGCACCTCAAAGGGAGTCCATAGCAAGATTAGACAATCTCACACCCTTTTTTTTTTTTAAAAAACTACGGGTATAGTACTAAGAAGAAGAAATCGTCATTATGGTTTTCCATAGTACAATAACCACAGGTTATTAAAAAAAAAACAAAAAGAAAAAAAAAAGCCACCAGTTCCATTAGATCATTTTCTGTGTTTTGCAATTTGCAAAAGTGAAACAATGAAAATGGCGCATGAATAATTTACACAAGCCCGTGCGCAAATACTTGTACATTCATCAACCAGAAAGGCAACCAAATCTCTCTTTCCAGTCTCTCGGGCATGATCTAGCCATCCACACCTGATTAAGCTAGTAATAAAGTTTAAGAGCCCAACATGATTATAACAATGCGGCTACCAATTTTGTGGGCAATATTGTTTCTCCTATCAAACATCAGCTTGGTCCATTCCAACCGATACACGCTCCGGAATACACTCACTAGCTGCACACAAATTAAAGAGAATGAAAATGAAGAACCCAATATGATTGCTCTCCCCACACTCCTACAATATATGTGGACCACATAGAGAGGCGGTAAGACCTCATCACAGACCAATGTAAGCCATTTATAGCAGGGTGTTTGGGGAAGGTGACTTGCCTTGATTGTTCAAGTTTTCCTCCATTTTTTCCTTCAGTGTGCCACACTACGTCTTGCAAACCTGACGAGAAGTTTTTGTAGAACTGCATGTAAATAAAGAATAGGGTGATCTGTCAATCAACAGCTAACAGCGATCCTGAAATATGTCTCTGCTCTTTCCAGTTGATATGCAGTACTTGAGAAGAGCCAAAAGGAAAGAATTATAAAAATGAACTCTACGAAAGAAATTGAGTGCAAAAACCCAGTAGTTTAGCAGTAGCAGACTAGCAAATCTCTTAATGAGTTAAATTTCTTAATTACAACGGAATTTTCAAATTTTACTCGCCTTGTGAAACTCCAGTGTGTCACCCCCCGTCTTCCGCAACTCCACCATGTGCAACGAGGGAGCCACTTCAAAAACCTGAAGCCAAAGTGAGAACCATATAAATTGGAAGACACTAATGAATACATAAATCATTGTGCTTTCTTCCTTCCTTTTCCCCTAATTACCATCAGGGACATTCTTTGGCTTAGCCTGAGATCCCCTTTCTTGGTTAGACAATGTTAGTTGTCAAGTAATAAGAAGACTCCCATTGACTTTTATGATATTTACGAGCTTCAACCCATTTATGGTCTTTTTTGAAATTTAAGCAACTATACAGGAAGATAAATAGATAATACATCTTTAGAGCATGAATATAATCAAAGAACCACGATGATAATCTACTGTGCCTTCAAAACAATGCAACTTCAATCTCTGCCTTGGTTTCTGTGTTTTCTGTTCATATTGTACAAATTCATGTCACTATCACCAACAAGCAAATTCTCCAGCTCACATTCAAAAGTCAGGCCAAGTACACGAGACCAGAATCTTTCTCAGCAAGTAGATTGATCGGAAAATTATAACCTTTTGTTGCCTTTGACATGCACCTAGGAAAAAATGCTTATAACCTTGAAGAATGACCCAGTACCTCAGTAGCCACAGAGAGGTGTCCCTTCCTTCCAGTCTTGTCACCTTGAAGCTTCATCTGCAAAATTTAATCTGCATGAGGTAGAGTACTCTTACAGCATAATTAGTGGCTTCCCTTCTTGACTTAAAAATCCTCACATCTGAAATAGCTTGTGACACATAGGTATTATGCATAGTCGAAGTGACAAGACAAACTATCACCTTGTAGTTTCGCCTGTGAACATTAAATCCCAGTGGTTTGGCAGCTTCCTCGATTTTAGAAATAATTTCATGTGCAGGGCGCTGAGAAGTAAATCTTGTTTCTCGCTTGACAATACCCTATAGGGTTGATTTAGAATATCACAGAAAACACACATTATTAACCAGAAAGAACAAATACATACTATCAACATTTTGTAATGCATCCTCCCCAAGGAAAAAACTCCTAGGTGAATTCACATTAGGCTTTCAATGAACATGCTCAACCAAAATTGACAAAAAAGGAATATCTTCATAATTCATAACTTTTGACTAGGGTGTCATAAGTCAAATTTATGTGACTTGTCATATGAACGAAGCTTGTATAATATGAATCCCGTAAGATGATCAAGGCATAGACTAATTTTCACTCACCATCTCTTTCTCAAACAAACTGTCAAGATTGAAACTCTGGGACCTCGAAATGAGCTCAAAAGCATTCATGGAGACGGGTTTTTCTTTCCTCTCTGTCACAAGGTTTTCCTACCAAAAAAAGTAAATGTACATTATTCTACAATTATACATAGAGAAGAGCTTCAGAAAACTTTTTCACATATCTCAACTTACACTCCCCCACTTAAAAGCATTTACCTAAAAATAAAACAGTTTGAAAGGTAAGATTGGTCCAGTTTCACTACACTGTGTTATTTGTAGAACAACGTCCATGTCAGGAGTTATTTAAGGAAACATTGGACAAAAGAAATTGAACAGACATAGCAAGAAGCTAAGTACCTTGGAATCATTGAAGGCCGCAGCTACATCATCTACATTTATACCCTCTTCCTCTTCAAAACATGGTGGTTTGTATCCTTCCTTGAACCATTTATCTCCCAAGAGTTCTGGAATTTTTATCCTCTGCAAAAAGCAACCTAATGTTTAAAAAGAAATTATCACGCTTCCAGCTGGGTGTTTTCAAACAAGAGGATCAGAAGTGGAGAACAGGATCATAAACAAGTGAGAGTAAAAGATTCGGTATAGTGGGAAAAATAATCCTTGAAAGAGCTAGTAGGATTTGAGGACTCACTGTGAGAGGGTTTGGATCAAGAATACGATTCAGCAGTTTCTTTACATCTGGTGGAAACCATGATGGGTATGAGAATTCAGCCTTGCTGATCTGGAATATACTAGAATTATTGATTTTTCCTTCCAAATGACCTGATAAATAGCTTCTTTTTCACCATTGATTCTCAATAATCATAATCTGAAACAACTTACTTTCTTATACAAAGCCATTTGATTTGGCTCATCAAACGGCAAGTACCCAGCCATCAGAACAAAGAGAATCACACCACATGACCAAATATCAGCTGCTGAACCATCATAGCCTTTAGCATTAAGCACCTGATGCAGACAGTGCATGAGATAACACACAAAACAGTTGGAGGACCAGTGTGGTCTCCCATCACATAAATGAAGACATATGCTAGGTACCTCAGGAGCAACATAATTAGGGGTTCCACAGGCAGTGCGTAGCAGTGCATCATCCTGCATGATAAGAGACTCTGAGTAAGAGTGTTTTTTTTTTTTCATGCAACCTAAAAAATTTAACTTCATTAAGTAAATAAAACCCATTCACCATTAAAATTAAGTTGAGTCCTAAGTTTTTGCAAACATCAAGGGCAACTAGATAGGGAACAGCTCACTTAAGCAAAATTTGAAGGAGTTAAAAGAGATCACGTCTAAAAGCAGTCCAGTCTGATTTCAAATTGTTCAAGGATAATGAAATCAAACCCGTGACTATGTCAAGTCAATCAGCAAAAGTTAGCCCATGAACTAATAAATGATTTTCTGTATAATCTGATCAAAGCTGATAACATAGGTTGCCAAATGCCCAAGGAATAAATAGTGTAAAACTATAACGAATTGTCATAGCATCAGCAAAAACAAGCAGGATGCTAATAACACTCAAAACTTCAGAGAAAGCTTTTCTAATCATAAAGACAAGCAAGAACCTATGCCAATCATATAGAAGATAAATACTCACTTGCTGGGAGTATGTACTCAGTCCAAAATCTGAAACTTTAAGAATATCATTCGAGTCCAGAAGAAGATTCTCAGGCTGCCAAGTACAATGAGGATGAGTCTGAGTCTGAGTCTTTATTTTATTAGAAATATGCAGTAAATCAATCCTCACTACACTTGTAAGCCTATGATAAGAATAAATATCTAGAGGACTAAGCAAATTTTTAGACCTTCAAGTCTCTGTGAAAGACACCTCTACTATGGCAGTAATCAACAGCATTAATAAGTTGTTGGAAATATTGCCTTGCTTCACTCTCCTTAAGTCTCCCATCGTTAGCCTGGAAATCAAAATGGCAATAAAGCCAATCCTTAGCTACAGACAGATGCGAGATCATCAACACAAGACATCAATGTACTTAAAGAAATAGCAAGCATATTTTAACGTACTGTCCCTTCAAAGGAAAAAAGCAAAAGAAGGAAGGCAAATATTATCAAAGAGAAAAACATATGCAAAAATAGTAACTTACTATTTTGTCAAATAGTTCTCCACCATCAACAAACTCCAGGACAATGTAAATCTTTGTTTTGCTTGCCATTACCTATACTTAACCAGAACACATATTGAGTTAGAAACGCTAAACTAAATGCATTTCGAGAGTAGAAAACGAAATTTTCATCCAACATTTTAACCCAAGAATCAAGAATGTAATTTTCAATTTTTGTAATCATACATTACACCATGAAATTATTCTAAAATGAAGATATGACTGCTTATATATAACCCCCGCCATTAAGTTTTCCATAGAAAAAGGATTAAGAGACTTTGTGATTGCCCTTCCTCAAAATTATAAAAAATAGGTTTGAATAAATACACACTGTACAGACACGCATACGAAGGTGTGCTTATTTGGCTTCAATACGTCACCCACCACATTATTAAGTTAGCTGAACTCCATCAACCTTTTTGTTTTTTAAATTACTCGGTGAACCGTTTTGTAGGAGAAAAAATTATTTAAGGAAGAATCATCATGCAAGTCCCAAGAGTACAGAGACTTTTGGGATTCAAGCACTTCGAATCTGATCGGTACGCTGCCAAGACTAATGCTATAATAGTTCTCGATCTCGAGAGGTTGACTTATGTGCTTTACTAATAAAATATATGACAGAAATTATCAACAGTTCTAAAAAAGCAATTTCTTCTGTTCTGGTAAATTTAAATACGAAAAAAATGACGAAAAAGCGCATTTTACATCAAAAGTAAGAAAACACTTTCTTTGTTTCAACTACAGAAGAACTGAAAAAAAAGAATTTGAGATTCGAATGGCACCTCAAATATATTAACAACATTCGGGTGTTTGATCAGCTTCATCGTGGAAATTTCTCTCTTCAGCTGCCAAGAAAAAGAACAACTTCCAATACTTTATCACTTCCATAACAAAAAGAAACACAAGATATTATGCACAGGTTCTACGTAAGCATAATCATGCAGGGAAAACCGGCAGACAAGGTCTCCATATGTAAATAATGACAAGCTCTACAAAACACACACAAAAACCAGAGTCAAAAGCCCGAAAAATTGAGGCACCACTCATCTGAAGCATTATTAACACAGCAATAGGCAGAAACCCATGTAGGGTCATCAGGAAACAATCTCAAGCGACACGAAACTAGTAAATTGAAGCCATATTAATTGACAATGAAGCTTCAATTCAAGACACAGATTGCAGCCACCTGTTCCACCATCTTGTGTCGAAGCACATGATTGCGGTCGAGGATTTTGATGGCGACGTGCTGTCCCGTCTCAACGTTTCTCGCAAACTTCACCTTGGCGAAGCTACCCTCGCCAATGGTTTTACCCAGCTCGTATTTTCCCACGCGAGTCCGAGATTTCGCTGCATTCATGCTCATTTTTGCCTTCAAAGTAGTGATTTCTCCGATGCGGGTTTGAATGTGGGTGATACTTACGGAGCTGAAATAAAGCGAGCTCAAGAACTGATGATTTTGTCTATTGCGAAATGGAAAATGAAAAATCCGCGCGGAGACTGGAGAGGAGGAGGACGAACGAGAGATGGAATAATGGATGAGGAAGATAAGTGCGTGACTGAAGCGTGTGGGGCCAGGAGCATGAAGCGGGTCCCACTATCTGTTCTACAATTGTTTCGGCTGCTTTAAAAAATTAAAGGTTACATTAATGCTGTCTTCCCCAAAACGCCCTTTTTCCTTTTTGATTAAAAAACAACCTTATTGAAGATCCAATATGTGATTGGATTGAAGAGAAAAAAAAAAATGAAAGGATATTTAAATTTTAAAATATGAAATTACCTTTTTGTACAATGAAAGTTAATTTACATCGAAAATCTAATCTTTTTTATGATTAATCTAAAATAAATTCTATTGAAATTGATGTACGGAACATATCTTAAAACGAATTAGAAGAATTTATATTTAATATTTTCTTAATCGATAAAACAAACGGACATTAAATAATCATCATCCTTTTCACTAAAAGATCCAAAAATGATTGCTATATAATTTCTGAATAGAATTATAGTTATATTATCATTGAAAATCATAGACTATGATATTTTAGTCATTAAACTTAATATCAAGTATACAAAAAATTACATTTAAAGCTTACTTATTAATGCCATGTTTTGTTACATAAATGTTTGCACATCAGAAGGTAAAATTAATGAATACAATGAATTCATATTTTGTTAACTAAAACTGTTAATTTGATCTCGTTATTGAAATTTTGCATTGATTTGAGATGTTTATGGTGAAAGTGCATTCATTCGTCTTAACTTGATAAATTAACATAGTTGTGTTTTAATAAAATTTTTTTAAAAAAATTCTGCTTGGGTACTAATAAAATTGCAATTGCGCTTCGCTTGATTAATGGTTGAAGCTTAAGTATTAATTTTACATAATTATTGTTGGAGAATACACCATGTATTTATTACATTTTTATTACTATTACTCGATAATAACGATTGTTTTACTATTTTTTGAGAAATTAAAATATTCATAATTATTTATTTTATTTCATTTTATCATGCACAACAAAAAGTCATTCGGAAAATTAATTAAATTCCGAAGTTTACCTCGGGAATAAGCTCTGGAGGGTAGTTATGTAATTGGGGATGGAGTGCGGACGAGAGCGGGTGATTTGGTTCGCATCTCAAGATGCTCTTGCGTTATTATCGCCGTCATCATAATTTTTTTTTTTTGGAGAATAATGGCCTTTCGTGTTATTAAATGCTCAAGGCTCAATTATTGTTTGGCTTTCATTCCTGACCTGGAAATTATTTGTCTTTGGAAATTAAAAAAAAAAAAAAGAATGTTGTTTAGTTCGAGTGGAGAAAAGTAGCATTAGACCGCCTAACAAGCGCATGCATATTCTCCACAAGATCCAAAAGGTGATAATAACTAGTGTGGTCCGTACTTTTGCACAAATCATTAGAAATGAAACATGCTTTTTATTACTTCACTGGGTCCTATTTATGAGCAATAAGACAGGTGGAGAATAATTTCCTATTTATTTATTAAGAATGTCATTACTTTTTTTTTTTTACTTTGCAACACATATTTGTGAGAAAAAGTTATTAAAATATATACATTTAATTAGGACACAGTTGAAAATTCATTAAATATTTAGAAAAAAATTAATGAGTTTTAGAACTTTCTTTCATCTGATGAAACAGGGTGTGAATGGTTTACAAATAGAAGCAGGGTGATTGATATTTAGGGCATGTTTGAAGATGCTTCGTGAGAAGCCAAAACCACGTTTTGGATTAGTTGCTTGTGCGAAATGCAACGAGAATGACGCGTAAAGAAGGATGACTGGATGAGTGAGCTTCACCTATACGTGGGCCCACCCAGAGCCTTGTCTTGCCTTTGATGTGGCAGATACACACCAAAAAGGTTTAATATCCTAGAGTGATCCTAATCTCTTAGTATGATGATAGGTAAGCTCTAAAGATTTTTTGCTTCCCTCTGATTTGAGGTGTTATAAAAATACGTAAAGTGACAAGGATCAGCTCAGGGTTCAGCCCAGGACAAGGCAACCAGGCCTTTGGGCCATACCAAAAGATGTGGGCTCCTTCGCTAAAGCATCATTTCCTCCCACCCACCTTTTCACTTCTTTTTTTCCCATCTCCTCATTCATCCTCTTCAAATTATTCGATTCAACGCTTGCAAAATCACAACCATTGTTCTTCCAAAGAAAAAATATATAATCATTTTTAAAAAAAGGAAAAAAGAAAAGATTCGTTTGATTTGTCATAAGAAAATACGAGGGGAAGAGTGTTCAAGTTTAAAATTCAAATACTCAATCCAGTCTTTAAATATGAAATCTAGTTAACTAATTCACAAAAACAATAATGATAAGCCTTATTCTATTAAGTGAAGTCAGATATGTAAATTATATGATGTCATTGTATTATATCATTTATTAAATTTTTTAAAAATGTTAATTAAGAGGTCTCAATTAATAACTTTTAAAAATATTTTCTTTAGTCTTTCTCTACTTTTCTTGACAGGATTCAAAGTTTATTTGTTTCACTCACCTCACAAGTGCCTCCTATGGTCTTTTTTTCATTTACATGTTCAAACCACCTAAAACAATTTCTATCATTTTTCCTTCAATAGGTGTGATGCCCACTTTTTTTATATATACTCATTTATGATTTTGTCTTTACGTGTATATCCATACATTCATCTCAACATTTTCATCCTGCTACTCTAACTTTATGCTCTTGTTATTCCATTAAAATCCAACATTCACTACCATATAATATTGCTAGTCTTATAGCAATTCAATAAAACTTTCTTTAAGTATGACTCCTTTAGCTTTTCTTAATTAAACCATTCAACTTGCATCATATGTACAATATCTCTGTCAATATTTCTATTATGTTGAATAATCGCTCTCAAATGTTTAAATTTTTTTCACTTGAGGTATAATTTAATCACTCAATTTTAAGTTTAAATTATCATTCACTAGCCTCTTATTAAAATTACAATGTAGATATTTCCCTTGTTCTTATTCTGGCGGAAACCCTTTGACTTTAATATCTTTCTCCATAATTCAAGTTTATAGTTAATCTTCTTTCTTATCTTCATAATAAGAACTATATTATCCACGAAAGGCATGTATTTAGAAATTTCTTTTTGAATATGCTTACTCAAAGCATCTAAAAATATATCAAATAAATCATTGATAACTAATTCACAGAGATTAAAAAAATTAGGTAACTTCATTATTTGTCGTTATCATGTAAAAGATGGGTGTCATAGTGTCACTAACTTTAAAATACTTCACTTTTAATGAAAGATGTTAAATGTAGAAAACCAACCAAAAAAATGAAGGGGGGAATAGGAAAATTCAGGAAAAAACAGAAGGATTAACTAATCTTTTGATTCATATGATTTTGATTTAATTAAAACTCAACTCATATTTTGACTCATAGTTTCAAAAATTTAAAATGTTAGTCCATACATTTTAGAAAATAAAATTATAAAGATTATAATTATTTTTAAAAATTTAAAAATTAATATTATAAATGATTAAAATTATAGATGTAGAATTATAAGTTAAAGTTATGAGATGGAATTATAACTTAGTCAAAACTCATTTTTTCTAAACAGAGATATAGCAGAAATGGCTTACCTCATGGTCATATGCTATTCACTTACTTACGTGGTGGTCTCCAACTTCTCTTTTGTTTTCCCTGTTCCCGAATTAACTAGTACCATAGTTTAGTACTTTAGTTAGACTTACTGTTGATCGTTGACTATTTCTTTTTCGTAAATGATCATTGGCTATTGGGTTTTCTTAAATATACGATTAAAAACCTGCAGATATAAATATAACATCTATGCAAGGTTATATATTAAATTATTTATTAATCATAAACAGATTAACAGTGAATAATATAAATAGTTAAATACAACTTCGCAATATGTCAAGATACATAATCATTAATTTCTCTGCTCATAATAGCGTGTGCAAGAATCTCGTTCACAATTTAACTAATAGCTTTATTCCACCTAGCCATAATCCCATTTATAATGGAAGATAATTAAATAAATCCAAGAATCAACAAAAAATCTGAACACAGTTAAAAATCTCTTAAAAAATTGAAGGTAGCTACACCCAATTGCTTTTTTCTAAAAAAATATTAATAAAATGATACTAATTTTGGCCGTCCGGAAGAAATGAATCAACGGTGTTGGGTTTTCATTACTCAGAAGGAAATAGACGGTTCATAATTTACCTGTAGCATTAGATATTCATAAATTTTTTTCAAATAAACATATCAACAAAATGCAAATAATTTAACGGTTAGACTCCTAATTTTTCCCTGTTACGTTTTCTATTTCTTGAATAAGTCAGCAACGGTTTTAGGTCCTTATCACAAAAAGAAACACAGTATTCATATCTTATATGGAGCATTAAGCCGTCTATAAAATTGATATTTATATCATGTATGATTCACCGAAGAACTTTTAATCAGAGGGCACGCCACACCATGAATATTGCTAGCTTGTATGACTCGTAGGTCCCTTCTTCGCCGCACCACTCTCTCCTCTTTCACCACGCTCACCAACTGTTCGATCAAATTCGTTCCCTTAAAAGTTCCAGGTAACTTTTTATTGGATGATTCTCATTCGTCTCATATGGGCATTCTCTTTTGACGCAATTACTCAGTTACAGGTCATGGGACGATCAGAAGAGGGAGTCGAAAATGGAGGTTGCAATAAGGAAACACAGAAGAAAGTGATGTTGATTTTCTTGTCATCGTTCTTGGTTAGCATGGTAGGAAGCTTTCTGCTTGGATGGTGGATTCACAAGTATCATCCTACAAACAGTGAGCTCTGGATGGTGCCTGTTGGCCTCATTCTGTCTGTCACACCAGTCATTGTAGGCCTTTCTTTGGTCATTTCTAGTCCAAGCTTTTCCCGGAGAGAAGAAGAAGAGGTCAGTGATCTAAAGAGATAGTGAAAGAACTAAGCTGCTTTTTTCTTTTTTGCATGTAGGCTGATCTGTAGAAATTCTCTGCTTTGTTCTGCTTCTTTTAGAGATTAGTGCCTCCCGTGTCCTTGAATTCTGTAGTTCTGGAAAATACACACACGAATGAACTGAAACGGCGATGATGTCGCCCAGAAATTAAAACAATCCCTTTCTTGCGGTTTTGTCTCCAGTGGTTCATAAAACCAGTAAACTAATAGGCTCATAAGTTGTGAAATCACCATAGTTTTAACCTTGAAAGATAACCATCTGTTCTGTTAGTTATCAATTTCTTTTGGTAGTTGTGAACTATAAGGCGAAAATCCTGATTCAAACCACACTTTCCCTGGTGATAACCATCCAAAAATATGATATATCTGCAAGACTGTTCATCTGCTAGAAAAGTTAAGAGCTAAGGAGAGGATTAAAAAAATCCACGAAATAGACTTTTGGTGGTGATATTGGAAATTTCCTTTAGATTTTAGAGAAGGGGCAGTGCAGGAAAGTTGAAGCATTCACTCAAAAATTAACCAACCTTCTTGTTGGAGAGAGTGAAAAGTAATAATAAATGAAGAAGAGAGCAAGGGAAGTTGATATCTGGGGCCGGAGTTTCCCAGAAAGAAAATTTTGATTGATAGGAAGGAAGACGTGTATGAGAATGTGGACCACACTGGCACGCAGATGAGAAAACAAAGCCACTCACAGAGATGTTGCCTTCCCTAGATTCTACACATGGCCACATGCGCACTAATATGACGTTATTTTGAACTTTCTGGCCCAAAAAAGAAAGAAAAATATGAACATCACATAGATTCACAAGCTAACTTGTAATCTAAAGTTTCGACGGATTGAAAAGAATATTAAATTCAACGTGGTTATATGAAAAAGACTTTGTGATTGAATATGAAAAAAATTGTCTACTGTAGATTTTTTACCGAGGGTCTTCTACCGTAATGTTCCCAGAAACTCCTTCCTGCCTCAATGATTCTCTTCCAACTTTTTCAAATGCATGACGTTTGCTTTCCAATAATGCAGTGAGTCCTTGGTTTTTTTTTTTTTTTTTTTGGCTAGCCAATGAGCAATGATGTAGTATGTTGAAAAAGCAACCTATATTCTTCTTCTTTTTCTCCTCCTCCTTTTGTTGGCCAAAGCAACTTATATTATTCTTAAACAAAAGCAGAAAAAACAAAAATGTATAAAAAATTATTATTTTTCTTCTTATTTTATTTGATTGACTTTCATAATTATTATTAAATAAGAGAGTCATCGTGAAAATTTTTATCAAAACATGAAACACCAATAGAAAATGAACTGGATATTACATCCAACAATGAGGACAACAAGAAGCTTCCATCATTACACCATATTAATAATCAAATATTAGGATACATCATTTACCAAAAGACCCTTCACAACAATCTTGTTAAGCTTTCTCTTTTTCAATTTGCATGACTCAAAAACTGTTTGTTTCGTCCTTCTCACCAGCGTTTCCCAAAACATTTTTTTTTTTTGGGTATACGTTCAAATCTTCTTAAATGATATTCTACCAATTTATTTTCAATTAATGCCATTTCAATATGTTTATTATTATAAATTTTCTTGCATAATCATATCTATCTAAATATTTTTTCTTAACTTTATGTTCTTACTATCCTTTATTATTATCTAACATTGTCGATCTTTAACAGTTTGATAAAATTTTTCTAATTAGATACTTTAAGATAATAAATAACTCATGTAATGTTTTTCTATTTAAACCAATTTGTATTCTACGTGTAACATATTCATCAATTTAACCATTATTGATCCCAAATATTAGATTACATCCAAATAAAATAAAATAAAAATGATTTCAAAATGCAAACTTAATTATTTTAGTCAAAGTAAGTTTAGCTGCATCACATCTTTTTGCTTCAAAAATACCAAGCCAAAAACCCTTCTAATGCATTATAAAATAAAATGAAGCTTAATTTATTCCTTTTCTGGGGAAAAAGAATATTTTACTTTTAAAATTTATCGAGCTATATCTAATGCTGGCGTGGGTATGAACTCCACAAGAGTTGTCATTAGGCCAATCCTCAAAGCGTTCCGTTCATTTTAGATTCACGCGAAAACTCAAGCCCTCTATAAAATCGACACAAGAGGAGAAAACAAGAACATACTCCAAAAGGTGATATAGAACAAGACCGAGCGTCAAAACTTGGAAGCGCAGCCAAAGGAGGCATGCAGAGAAACCAAGAATGAATTCAGATTTTGGTCAAATGAATTAAAAATCAGACACATTAAATAGGGCCTGTCTTACCTTATGCATCGAGTCGGAATCTACCACAGAAGGTTGGTCAAGCGTACAAAATGGACTCTGCATATTTTATTGTCATTTTGCTCATTCATATCATATGATTGATTCCGCCACCACTTAACATTTAATTCAAGTACATGATAAGTAATCAAGATTAAACCACACAGATTAAAAAACTTAATAAATACTAAAGACAATCTGACACCTCTGAGGAATATAGTGCTCCTTGCATTCTCATCTCTTTCAAATATCCATTTAAACTAACAATAATACAGGATTAATGGGAAGAATAATACCAGATTTACAAAAGCGTGCGCGCACATTCCGAACAAGAAGCAGGATGTAGCAATATTTGTGGCTGACCCTGCAAGCCCAAGTGCAGAGCAGAGCATCATTCGTAGCAAATAGGTTTGAATTGAAAGACTACACCCATGAGCTTGACGTTTAAGCCTCATGCCTCAACATCTGAACGTGTAGGGAATTCGAGGCCCCTCAGAGCTGCAATGTTATCCAAATCCTCTTTTGAAATCATAGGAAGCAACCACAGAGCTTTCTTTGTCCCAAAAACCTTGAAAAGCAAATCAGCAGAATGGATATTAATCAGTCATCACAAAATGTTTTGACAATACCTCAGGTTTATCATAAAAATTTGACATGTGGATCTCTTCTATATCTCAGCATCAAATGATGAGTCACTGATAACTATTCACACATACATACTATATGGAAGAAGTTAAAGAATGCTTTATAAATTTAAGATAACTTAAATTTTAGTTTTTCCATTATTTGGGAACAATCCCTGCATAGCACAGGTATTTGCCTAGTTATTTTAAAATTATTCATAAAATTGCGTACGGGTTCAACAATTTGACAAATATTGCTGCTAGTGATATGATATCAAACATTTTTCTTAAATATGTCTATACTCATTTAGTTTATCTCGTTGGTTAGTATCTTTTCAAAAAAAAAAGGCAATTTTGTTGATTACCTGATAAAATAATAAAATGAAGCATGTCTAAAGAAAATACCTGTTCAAAATTTTCTTCCTGCCGAGGTCATACCTCCATCTTACTCCTTTTTTCTTCTCATATACCTAAAACATTAATTCTCAGATGATTTTCGATGGAGAGCTTGAGCAAAAAGCATCAACAAACAGGATAATGAATCATAGCTACGGCTAATGAATAGTTCTCTCCTGACTAGAGTCATGATTCTGCCTTCCTAGATTAAAAACAACCAATGCTAGTATGTCAGCTTAATAAGATCCGAATACATTCCTAAGTCACGTTAGCAAACTAGAAATTCTTCACTGTTAACGTTACCATATACTTCACTTGCAATAAGAATTATGATTTTTTACCCTATGCCCTTCCCAAGCACACACCAAACAAGTTGTAAGAAAGAAGAATAATTTCCTTCTTTTTTATAATATCTGTTATATTTTGTAATTATTACTCAAATTTTTATAATGTTATTTAAAAAAAAAAGTAGGAAGCAAGTTGTCTTTTATCCTCAAAATCACTTTTTTATTTCTCTTTTCATTAATTCCTTCTCATTTTGTGTAACAAACAGCCCTTAATTAAGAAATAGAAGACCTATCATCAAGAGACCTGATTAGCATAGGCTTTAGCCAAGAGTAAACAATATGTCTATCCAGGTGAGCATGTCGGCGAACATGAGCATATAACAATACCAATTCAACAAGGAAAAAGAGAATAAATTGAATTGATTACCTCTACTGACGTTGTGTTGCTTAACAGAAGAGACAAGTGCATTACAACGAAACAAGAAGACTCAGTGCAAAGCTAAATAAGAACTGCGTCAAGGCACACAATATGCAAGAGCCATCAGTAATGATGAGAGAGCAGAACTAACCAGTGAAAGTGAAAGAACTTGATTAATACAAGCAAACTACTTACTAGAAGCCAAAAGACAATGGCAAAGCTCCCAGGAGATAATGATGATTCTTTACGCACCAAAGAATCTGATAAAACTAGGCACTAAAGCAAACAATCCAGCGTTGTCTCAAGGAATGTATAAAGCTATCAGTGGAGGGAAAAAAAGAATAATGAAACAGGGATAACAAAGCGTCACCAGAAAGCAGCATATCATTCATCCCATTCCAGTCCCCTCTGAATGCCTTTGCTTTTTATCTCATGATATGCGGTTCCACTATTTAGAAGTCAAAAATTTTGTTCTCATTTCTCAGAAATCTAAAAGTAACTCTGATTACCAAGCCTGTAAGTTTGAATGCCACATAACATAGAACTAACCACTTTTTGGATGCTTGAAAGAACAAAAGATGGAAGTTCTATTTGAATATTCAATCCTTATGATTATTTTAATAGAGAATTTGACATTCACATTTCAGCCAAAAAGGAAAGAAATCAACGAATTCGACACAGCAGTAATGAATAAGGTACTGAATTAAAATTAAAATCAGCCAGTCTTTGGTTGGTGACGTTCTGCATTGCTTCTACCTTATAACTGATTGCTATAAATAACTTTGGGTCATATTACATAATAAAACTTTACCTTTTAGTTTATTTATTAAAAAAGCTAAAAAGTAGTATCAGCTTAAAATCTATGTTTCCTGGACACTAATAGACAAATTAAAAATCAATTGATCAGATTGTATAGATGTAAAAAATATGATAATTAGTTCACATAACGCAGACAGATTTATTCAGAATTTTATTTTCAAAACTTATCTCAGTTGATCAAACTCAAATAACACTTCATGAATCCCTTTATCAAAATTTGTACATCTTTTGCTTACTCAAGTCCAAAGGGAACCAAATCCATTTACACCATATGATCCCTGGTTTTCTCGTGACTACCAGGTGGGAGCTCCAACGTTCTCTTAATAAACCCTCAAAACCTCCAAAGAACATATAATATACTCATCAGAGAAGTGGGTGCCAAGGTCACTAAACTTCATCACATAAGTTGCCAATAAACCAAATTCCATGGATGTGATTACAGATAAAAAGGGAGTCAAAATGGATACCATAAATATTTCTTAAATTTCACCTAGCCACTTAGCATGCTGAAGAACAAAGGAAAATATTTACCAAAAAGAGAAAAAAAACTTATAATTAGTGCACCAACACAATCACCACCCAAATGCAATGATGATCCATCTTAAGAACACATCTTGGCCTACAAAAACGTGAAAAGAACTAAGATAGTGTCATCTTCCGTTACATTACCTAAACTCAGCATGGAGATAATATACTCATTCACAAAAAATAGGGCATTTTAAAATTCACAACAAGGTATATGCATAAAAGCTATCGAGCAATGTCAGAAATATAATTGGAGAATGATGTCACATACAAATTGAGCAATGATGGCAACGTGTGGCTTGCCATTCTGGCAACGACTACAATATCCAGTCTCTCGTCTTCTTCCATTCCGTCAGAAGAAGACCGTGCAGAAGCTGAAGGCTCAGGGGCAACATCATTTGAGAACGCTGTAGGAATACCAGCTTCTAAACTCTCGTCCTCTGATAGAAGTCTCCAATTTTCAGGACAGAACCAGGATCATTGAATACCACCATAAAGTAGCACCAGGTTAACATTATAAGCTGCAAGTTGAACGAAAGCCACAAATCAGGAGCACACGCGCAAATAAAGTACTAAAACAAGTGGAAGTGATTGTTATGCTACCAAATGAAAATTGAATAGCTGTAACTCCATTTCACTTGCATATAGGAGACAGACTTTTCTATGACGAAGGCATAAACCAAATCCACGACATCTAATGCCCCAAAAAAAGTTGAAACTATAAGTTTATCATAGATCTAGTCAACATCCCTACATTGTACCTGCATTCATTCTCTCACGTCACATCGTTACTTAAAAAATATATAGTCCTCATTCTCTCACGTCACATTGTTACTTAAAAAATATATAGTCCTTACTAAGTGAATGACTATGCAACTATATTTCCAGGTTCCACTAAGGACAGAGGTTCAAAGTTCCGCGCCAGTAATGGTGCTACAGCGGTAACAAAAACCCCTTCTTTCTACATGAAACCATCGAAGCTTTTCCCAAACCCCACCTTGCAATCTTAGCAAAATGTTAAATGATCCAAATTATCATAAACAAAACGTGATTTGCGAAAACGCACCAGGATGTGAAACGCAGTGATTATGGCAATCGCTAGAGCGAGGAGACTCCCCCAGGAACAAGAGGGGACCCCAGGTGACCAAACTACGGTAGTAAGTAACGGCAACGATAGCGGCGAACAATAAGATCATGAAGTAGCCAAGAACTCTGAGGCCAGGCACAACTTGAAAGGTTTAAATCCATCCCGGGGGTGGATAGTTCGTCTCCCAATTCAATACGGGGGATCTTGGGACGGGAAAGGTCTTCTTGTTCGGGCCGGAAAAGGCGTTTCCAGATATCTGAAGCCAGGATTGAGGTTTTCTGGTTTGAACTGGATAACTTTGAACATAAGTTGATTGGGAGAGCTTGAAACCGAAAATCTAGACTTGAGAACAGAGAATCGCGAGAAGGAATCTTTTATTCGAGGTCGGGCCCCAATTGCAACCCATCTTATGACGAAATGGAAAATCTCTGTTGCAATGTATTCCGCCGTTTTATTTTATTTATAAAAAAACTATTATTTTTATTTATTTTTTTTAAATAAAATAACTTTTTTAATAGGTATATATTACAAACTTTTTAAATTATTTTTATAATTGTATCATTTATAGTGATAAAAAAAATTAATAAAAGCTTGATTATATATTATTAAAGGGTATTGTGATTCAATTCTTTTATTTTTAAACAATTAATATATTGATAATTTTTTATACGATACTCCTCCAAATAAATAGAGGAAGTATTGTTCAATAGTAAAAACAATAATAAGTATACTCCCTCCTTTTAAAAATAAACATTTATGAAAAGTTGAATATTTAAAAATATAAGGTTTTTTTGAAAGTTGGATATCTTCATCTTAAAGGCAGGTAATAATGACTTGACGTTATAAGTGAAATCTCCAATGGCTCCTTACTTCCAAAAGAATTTACATGTTAATATATTATAAACTATTGGTATATAGTTATCTTCAATGCATGCAAAAGAAGAGTGAATTTATTTTGCTTCATCCCTTCCCCTTCGTTCAATCACATTCCTAGTTTGACTCCATTTTCTAATGACTTCACCATCTATGTCAATTTTATCAAATCCCCTTTTTGGGCCATTCAAGTCAAGGCACAAATTTAAACACAAATAACCAATTTCCTCTTACCACTACGATGTAAAAGTGCGTCTTTTTGGCATGAAAACTTATTTCAATGTAATATATTTCTTGCAACATTCTAATTTTTATGTGAAATTTTATGAGAGATCATGTTAATTGAGGTTTATTAAGATAAAAAATAATTACGATCTAAATGTGTTGATTGTTTGGAACTTATAGTAGTTAAGGTTTAGTATGAATTAGAGAGTAAGTGATGACTCTATTTATCATCGCCGCTGTTGTGATACCAAAGGATGTTACTGCTTGCAATTAAGCCTCGCTGATTAGGTAGTGCTCTATGTTCATGACTACCCACGGATGAACCTAGCGGGACTAGATTGATTGTGGTCATAATAGGAGGACAAATTGGTTTAAGTAGCTTTAACTACTCACGATTGTGAAATACACAAACCACAAAACAGCTCACGATTGAAAACACAAATTAAGTCGCTGTTTCAAAAATTAAATCAAAATATGTGAAAGGAGTGGGAGAAAACAATGGGTGTATTAGAATTGGATTAACAATAAGTATGATTAAGGTTAAAGTTTTAGGTGTATGAAAGGGTTTTGGGCTAATGAGAGTGATCAATCTAATCCTAATATTGGTATGGGATTAGTGTTAAATACTATGATTAGTCATAAGTAGTGTGTATTATTGTTAAGAAGCATTGTGTTGTGGACACTGTAGGAGTTATCACCTTGTGTTCGGGGAACTTTGCTATCAAAGGGTAGAGGTAACCATTTCTTTGATATTATGGTTTGTGTTTTGTATTAATTATGCATGTTTTTATTATAAAATAATTGTGTTGAAAACCAATGTGTTAGAATCAATATTATCTATCAAGAAAATGTGTTGCCAAGTGGGATTTAAATGTTGTATAAATGTGATTATATTGAAAAAAAAAATGTATTTGAAAGCATGAATTACTGTGTTATGTATCTATGTGAATTGGATTTGTTCTTAATTGTATGACTTGTTGGTGTATGGTTGGGAGTTATGCTAATAAAGTTATTACCACGTGATATGCCCCCATTAATTCTTGAGAGTTATGCTAGTGAGTGGCACATGTGGCTTAATTAGTTTATCTTTGGTGAAGTGAGCTAGAGTACCAAGCATGGTGTATGGAGGAGATAAGGTGTTGTCATGCCTTTTTTTATGTTTTGAATTATAATTATATATGTTGTGCTGAAATGTGTTTTCTTCCCACTTAGCAATCTCTATGTTTATTACTACATTGCCTTATATATCATCTTAGATTTGGTTACCATGCCCATCATGTTTCATCCTTATGGTTGATGTTTTTACAGGAAAGGGTCAACCAGATAAGCACCTGTAAGAGTAATTTTGGTATATGTGAAACTTTTGGCCTCATCAGTCTTTTTGGTTACATTAATATATACTTGCCAATTTCGATGATGTTTAAATTATGAGCATGTAAACTCTATAATTTAATTTATTTTGCATATGTTGGCCATAAGAATTCTATCTACCCCTACGATCCTAACTATTTATTTGAATTAGTTATGCTATTGTATTACCATAGGACTTCTACCTATCTCTCATAGTCTTACTTGATTATTTGGAATATTAACTTATGATTAAGATTTGAATTGTTCATTATAAAGAACGTGGGGACTATATGTGTTGTTCCAACATCCTGAGTTTTTAATTTAGAAATTTTAAGTGTTTAAGAGAGTGAATTGGTCAAAATAAGATCATATGAATTAATGATTGTTTTTGGATGATTAATATGGTTTATAGATTGCTAACAGTCTCAGAAGAAGACCTAGGATCAGATTGAAAGGACTATGGCATGAAAAGAGACCAAAACGAGTCTAAAGTCTCCTTATGCCATCCATCGTGACGGACGCACCATGTGCCTCGGCCGATGCACACAAAAATTCAGTTAAATCAGACAGCTCGTGTGGGAAAGAAACAAATAGAGGAAAAGACAAAATGCATGAGAGGTGACGATGGCAGCTTTGTGCTATGCTAGGGTATTAATTTGAGAGCATTTTGAGTAAGATTCATTCTTGGATAAGTTTCCTATCCATCTCCTTCCTCTTCTATGCGAAATTTATAGAGTTTAGGTATGTTTGAGGTTTTATTTTGATTTTCTTATGTTGTAACCTAGCCCATTGTCTTAGCTAAGGTTTTGGAGAGTTAAATCAAGTTTTAAAATCTAGTCTCAAGGTTTTTATAATGATTTAAAATTTTTAGTTAGAATTTGGATGAACCCTAAGTAAAATTTGAGAGTTTGAAATAATGTGATAAATGAATGGTGTTATCAGTATGTTTGGGTGCTAAATGAAATTAATGGAATATATTAAAAGTATTGATGGTGTTAAATGGAATTTTTAGATATAGTGGGTACACAAAATTGGAGAAAAGGGATTAATTAGAGTGAGAATTGATGACTAAATGTTTAAACTTCTGGATTAAATCTAGTTGCACCCTGCTGTGCAAGCGGACACAAGCAGAGTTGGTAATGGACCACCGTAACCCTTTTGTGATAAAAGCATTAAGGTAACTAAATCATTAAACTTTTTATTATGTGTTAAATGGTTGTGTTGTTGCAAAAATTTATTCAACTATTAATTTTGAACTAGTATATTCTTAGTGAAAAATGATTATAAATTTAGAAAACTCTATGTGAAGTGGAATATATATTGCAAACATGAGATTTTGAAAGTTTTATGCTAATCCTATATATAGGTGCATAATATATGTAAGTGTATGATTGATGGATTGCCTTAGTTGTGTCAGCAGTGAATTAAACTAAGATTGACTTAATATAGTATAGGTCAACTCTAGATTACTCTTTCCAAAGAGCAATTTAAAGGTTATCTTAAGTTTTTTCGGAATTTAAAAACTCATGCAAAAAGATCTAAAAACTAAATGCTAGATTTTTACACTAAAATGCAAATGAGAAAATGCAATTTATGTCACTAAAACTATCTAAAAGGATGCTATACTAATGTCCACCTAAATGCTATTATGCAATGCATGAGTCCTAAATTATGATCAGGGGTTTGTGACAAGAAATGAAATGTAAATTAAAGAAATTATTAAACAACAAAAAGGATTAATTAATCCAAAAAGTAAAAAAAGTTTGATTTTTTCGGTAAAAAGGGACCAATTTAGGACTCATATGAAGTTGAATTTCCTAATCCAATTCAATTAGTTAGACTTAAGAGAAATGATAGGAGAGTAAAATTAATAAATTTAATACCCAAGTAAAGCAGGGAGGAAACCATAAATATAAAGTCTAACATAATTCACTAGAGAACTCATAGTGAATCAATGCTTATGATTATAAATTAGGCAAATTAAACAATTTAAAACCAATAATGATTAATCCAAAATAATTCTACAAATATGTTTAAATTATTCAATTGAATAATTAGACAAATTATCAACCTCAATTGAACAATCAAGAAGTAAAATGAACAATTTAAATTTGTAACAAACACAACAATGTAATTAAATCAACAATAAGAACTCAATCATAAATTTAATTAGCAAAGCAAGGGAAAACAAACATAAATTTTAGAAAATTATTTAACACAAAATCAATTCAAATATCAATTCAATCTAAGATTCAAAATATTAAGTCTAAAACTAGACTATACTCAAGCATTACAATTTAAAATTATTTTAAACTAAATAATCCTAAGCTCTTGAATTAAAAGATAAAAAAAAAAATCATTCTCCAATGGTCTTCAAGTGTAAATCTTAAGCTCTAGCTTCTTCAATGCTCATCCTAAGTTGTCTCCCAAGATAGCTTAAGCTCTCATAATTTTTGTTCTTCCTCCTTTCACCATTCTATCCATGGCCATGAAAGGATGATTAATGGAAATGAAGTATAATAAATGAATAATGATTTGTTGGTAAGAGCATATTGCTTTTACCAATAGTCATGGGTTGCACAGCCAGCATATGGAACTATAACATAAAAAATAAATTATATATACATAATATTATAAAAACATGAAACACACCATTT